TTCCAGAGTTTGCACCAATCGTTTAGTTCTGTTAGATGATGTAAAGTATGTGAGGCGTGTGTTAGATTTGTATGTCTTGTTAGAATAGCTGTATCGTCTGCTTTAGTATCAATAGGTAGCAATTAGTACGTTAATTGTCATTATAATTATAATAATCAGTTGTTCTAAGTAATTATAGATATTTTTATTTATAGATATTTATTATGTTAACAACTTCGTTTGAGCAACAAACCGAGAAAAAAAATTGTAATAGATTGATTCAACTGAGAATAAACATTTCGATTTTTATGAAAAATCCCATTTATTTAAATTTTTGAAAAATCTAATTATAAATTTAGGCCACCAAAACTTCTTGTCAGTGTTGTTATACCAAAGAAAGATCTATTGACAGTTATCAAAAATAATATTTAACGAGTAAAACTAAAGGAGATATATTTTTTTTATTTTTTGAATATAAATACTACTTTTAAGCCTCTCGCGGAATCTTAACATATTTTGTTTCCATGATTCGCCTTTTAGGTTATACGGCGTTTTTCCGAGCCAGAGGGTGAGGGCGGAGCACATGAATCTCTCCTCCTTTCAAGATATTTTATTGCTCTCCTCGTCTTATAAACAGGACAAGATAAAGTTGCATTTAAAAAATGACAAATCATTTACAATTACATCTGAAACATTTCGTAAATTGTGTTAAGAGTTGTAGTGCGGTATAGTGCTTTAGGCGCCGAACAATGGACTTACTGTTTGGGCAATCTATTGAGATAAAAGTCGATACAAAGGAATTAAATTTTTTTTTTTGTTCAAAACTGTAGCCACTTAATTAGTAAAATATAAAAAGGATATTTAATATCAGGAATGTTTTTTTACCCTATCAAAAGACAAATTTCACAAGATAATTTACATCTTAAACTATCTTTTTTTTTATTATTGAAATTTACAACTGTATTATTAAATGATGAATACAACTAGTAAATATAAAATAAGTAACATGACATGTACAACATGAAAACTACATTGGTAGCACTCCAATTATATATTAGAAGGTCGCGAGACCATCTTCTTTTCAGACGCCTCGGAGGGTTATCAGGAATAGAAGAGGAAGCAAGATTGGAAACAAGAGGGTTCGGATGGTTCAGAAGTTTGTTATGGAAGGATAGGTATCTGGATTCAGCCAAATCGGAAACATGTGGTACATTAAGATCGTAATGGATTATTTTATTTGTGACAAAGTAAGGAGCATTGAGGATTTTGCGCAGGGTTTTGAATTATGGGGATTGGATACGAGAGGAATTTGATGGTTTAGTAGAGCCCTAAAACTCGATCCCGTACCCAAATAGACCTTATTATAGTAATATATATGAGTCGTTTGTAAATAGTTGAAAGTTTAGAGCGTTTGTCTAATAAGTGCTGCAGTAGTCGAAAACGTTAGGCGGTTTCTAGTCGTTTCAGTCTGGTATGGGGATTCCAAGTGAGTCGTTTGTCCAGGTGGAGTCCTAGGTAGCGGATTTGTTCAACAGGGATAAGTGGGCTATTGTTGAAGGATACTGTAGGACAGGAAGTCATAGGTTTACGACGAAGAGTAAAGGTAAAATTTGATGGAATTTATTTTAATCCTCCTGTTTTGACACCATTTTTCAAGACTAGTGGATGTGTGGTTGAAGAATTTGAGAAGCAATAGATGGATCGTTATTAACTGACAGGATACACGTGTCATCGGCATAAACTATCAAATTATATTTTATTTTTAAAAAATGTATAAATATATATATATTCTTTAATAATATAAACACAGTATTAAGTTGAATAAATATTTACGTGCCACAGCCAGACTTGAACATGGGACCTCGACATTTTTTTTTAATAAACTTTTTACTTTAATAATTTATAAATTTTACCATTACACAATGGGAATAAAATTTAAATTTAATTGTGATAATCTTACTTTAATTACGTATTTTGCTATACTTATATTATTATTGTAGAAATAGAAATAGAAAATAACTTTATTCTGGGACAAAGTCCCTTTAGAATAACAAAATAGAACATAATTAAAATACTACATCTGGCCAAAATAAAACAATAATAAAGAAGAGAAAGTTATTTACGTATTTTCTTCGGTCCGTTTTTATCAGTGGAGATATTTAATTTTAAGGACTTAATTAGCTGATAAAAACTTTTTTTCGTTTGAAATATAGGAGAATAACCTAGCATATTTTTTATTTTAAGTTGCCAAAATGGCTATACACACACACACACACATTTACAAGTCGGCATATTGTTTTATTTTAAGCCGCCACAATGGCTATATATACACACACATCGCTATATCTACAAGTCTTTGTATAATATATATATGTATTTATATATACGGCTAAATAAAGAGCTTCGTGAGTTAATATTTAGTTCTGTAATTCACAGGGTTCCACTGTGTGATTCATAGCCAGAGTCACGATCTACTATTAACTTATCTATTCCACGTGTCTGCCAGGCATTAGCAGATATTACTAATTGTTTACAAGTATATATTTGTTTCTGAAATATAGACCGTGTCAGAGAAAATCCATTTACCTAGTGCGTAAGCGAATGTGAACTGTGTATGCGACCTTCAAAATCTACTCAAATTTATGAAAATCGGATTAGACCATGTAACCGTCCTTGAATTTGATTTAAGATAAATAGAAGCTGAATCAAATTTCTTTATGTCTAAAATATAAAATAAATTTTCTATTCTGAGCACAATTGTTTAAAAAAAAAAAAAAACCTGTAGCACTACAGCCCATGAAGCCGTTAAGAAACACGCTCAACCACGAGGTTTTCCTTCTGAACCAACTATTTAATTAAGGGTACCCACTTTATAGAGGCAGGGTGTGCCCCAGGAGGATCTTCTTATCCCAGGGTCGCCCCACGGCCAATGAAACAGAATAAATTATTTTTCTGCCGGGATTCGAACCTGGGATCTCGAAGCATTGGAATCTTGGTGCCCTACCACTGAGCTATCTCCCTCCCCTTACAATTGTTTTAATAGTAATAATAAAACATATTTTTGATCAAATAGCCCTACTTTATTTGTCTTTCTGCACCAACGTTTCAGCCCTAAGTCCTTTTACAAGAAAAAAATCTCAAACAATTACAACGGTTTTTTAAAAGGGTGAATCAATAATAGGAGAGTTATATTTATTTATTTTAATATAATATTTATGGAATGGTTTAACAATGCATAACGAGTTTTAATAATGTAAATTTTAATTTTGGGATTGTTGACAATGTAATGAGGTTTAAAATAAACAACATTATAGAAAAGGTTCTAGTGTTTGACTAATTAAATGAAATTGACAAGGGCAATTCAATCCACATTGATTTTAAATGTATAAAGTAGTTATACAGGGTGTCCCGTAAGTAGGGGGGAATTTTTATAGAAGTGATAGCGGAAAAAAATTGAGATTCAGCTCAAGTTTTATAAAAACATTATATTTCTTATCTTGTCAAGTAATAGTATCCCTGTTTTCATCAAAAATGACCAGAATTAATTGTTGCAAAGCTTTTATTTCTTGTTTTTCCATGATCTGAGATGTATTATATACAAACCCAATTGCCTAAACACACTTTTTATTTATAAAAAAAATTAATTCGAAAAATGCTGATTTTTTTCAAATATTTTTTTCGGTTAATCGGTTATACAACCCATACAAGCCTGTACCACTACAACCCATGAAGGACAGACCTTAATTAAGTAATTGGTTAAGGGGGAAAACCTGGCGGTTGACCGAGATCACGCTCAACCGCAAGGTTTTCCCCCTTAACCAATTACTTAATTAAGGGTACCCACTTTATAGAGGCTGGGTGTGCCCCAGGAGGGACTCCTGATCCAAGGTCGCCCCTACGGCCAATGAAACAGATAAATAAAATTTCTGCCATGAGCCGGGGTTCGAACTCGGGACCTTTTGTATTGGAAAGCTCAGTGCCCTACCACTGAGCTACCCCGCTCCCAATCGGTTATGAACTGGGTAATAAATTTGTAAATTCCATATCTCTATTTTAGGAATTTATCCGAATTTATAATTGACAAACTAAATGATTCTGATGAGCACTTTTACTTAAAATGATAAGAAATATCTATTTTTTTTTTTAATTAAGCTGAATCTCAATTTTTTCCTAATAAACCTCAACTTAATTAATACTAACTTAAAGCTTATTAAGCGAACAAGTTTTTGTAAAAGTGGAGAAACTATAGTATAGATGGATGATAAAAAGAAAATGGACAATAATTTATGACTTTTCTAAAAACAGAACTTGGCTTAGTTTAGCCTTTCATAAGTCTTCTGTAAATGGTTTTAAGAATTATAAACTCTATTTTAATTTAAAGTAAATTTCATCTTTTTTACAATGAAGCAATTATTAATCACTTAAATTAAATATTTCTTTAGTTATTCCTTTGGATTCAATAAATCAGCACTCACTTAAAAAAACACAAAACTTGGTTTTTTGCTACTTTCCTGCTGAATGTCTGCCTATTGTTTATATGAAATTTTTTGTAGCTCTGCTATCACTCCTATAAAATTTCCCTCTACTTACAGGACACTCTGTATAATATATAAAATTAAATTAATAAATAAGCAAATACAATTAGGTTGTGACCATTGTTTAATTTGTTATAGGTTTCTTCCCTTGAAAAAGGCCTAAGGAGGGAAACGTTGGTGTAGAAAGACAAATATTAAATATAATGTGATCAAAAATATGTGTTTTAATATTACTATTAAGTTAAAGTCCTAAACTACAAGTTGAAAGCATGTGTTTAACACAATTTTTTTCTAATATTCCTAACATAAATTAGTCATTCAGTTGTCAGAATTACTGACTCAAATTTAAACATTTTTATAGTTAATTTTAGTGACATTTTTAGTGGAAAAATTAATACCTATATACATAGATCTATATTTCAACACAACAATCACCTACTGTACAGATGCTATCATTTTTTCCAACAAGAAATATCACTAAAATGACTTTACTAAAAAATGACGAAATTGGGTTTAGTCATTCTGTCAACTGAAAGGCTCATATATTATTATTCTTGTAATGACTGTGAAAAACCATATTATTAATTTTTTTTTTTTTGTTGCAAATAATGATTGAACTTATTAATTATTGGAAACTGCTATTATGATACCATATGGTGTTGCACAACTTGACCTAGACTTAAGGGGAATCACAGAGATATTTTCGCGATCGCTGCTCTCCTAGCGGCCGGACTCTGGGCTAGCCAGTTTTGACAAGGACTTCGCGAGTGGTGAAAAGTTATCTACTTGTCAGAAAATAAATTGATAAGTGTTTAGTTAGATCTTTCCCTTCACGGTATTTTTAACGTAAGTAGTCTGATTATATTGAGAATTTTACTTCTATTGCTTTCAGTTAAAAATCCCCCATTTCATTATTTTTATTATCGTATATATAGAGTAATTCCAAGATTTATATAAATCGGGCTGTGTGTTCACTAATAGGGTCATTCCATTTGAAAAAAAAAACAAAAACAATTTTATTGCTCGACATTATGGATTTTATAATTTTTTTTTACCAGTTATTCCATATTCATTTGAGAGTTCAAAACCATAGTTAAAAAAATTTTAAAGCTTACAGTTTTTTCTGAGCGGACATTTTGAGTTTCCTTACATGTTAACGAAAAAATGCCTGTAACTCCAGTAATTTTCTAGATAAAGCAAAATAAAATGTGAAATAATGTAGGTTATTTTTTCTGCATTTCTGTCTATTAATAAATCATCCAAAAAAGAAAGGAATGTGGTTTACTTCGAAATTTACTTATCTTAAAAGTTATGATGAATATAACAGTTGTAACTATAAATTGTATACATTTTCGAATGAGATAAAATTTTATTTCGTTTCATATTTAAAAAATATTAAAGCCAAATAAATGATTTTATAAAAGCTTGGGGTGACTAATCAGCTTAAGGGAATTAACTTAAATTGCAATTTTATTTTCCGTATATTCTTTTTAAAGGGAAATACAAAACAAATAGATATAAAACTCCAATACATCCGTAATTCAAATTACAAATCCATAAGTAATCAATTTAAACATCTTACATAAACGTTATTGCACTTTTAACGAAATTGTAAAGAAATTAAATGTTCTCTCCATTCAATAAACCTCTGAGTTGACACGTCTCCTTAAAATTTTCTCTGGTCCTCCCAGGTTGCACAAGGAACAGTTTGTAAAGGAATAGGAGCTTCAGGGTTTCTGTTCATAGGGTTGTTCCGATATTGCTTATCGGCCTATGATATAGATTAGACCTGGGCAGAATTTATTTGAAAAATAATCCCGGAATAAATCATTAAATAAACCTCAATAGTTATTTCCGAAATAATTTATTTCATGAAATAACCTGACCATTATTTCGGGAATAAATTATTTCACGAATAATGATATAATTTTGTGGAAATAATAAATAAAGGAATAATGTTGTGAAATAATCATTCTGATTGACTTTTCAGATATAATCAATATCCAAGTCGACTATTAAGTTTTCGGGGTAGCTTATTATGAAAATTCAGTGGAATATGAGATTGCGCCACCCCCCTTCCACCCGCATCGACTTTTTGTAGCTTTTCAGATATAATCGATATCAGGGTCGACTATTATGTTTTCGGGGGAGCTAATTATAAAAATAATGTCAAATTTGAGATTGCGCTCCCCCCCCCCTCCCTCCCGCATCGACTTGTTGTAACTTTTCAGATATAATCGATATCAGGGTCGACTATTATGTTTTCGGGGGAGCTAATTATAAAAATAATGTCAAATTTGAGATTGCGCTCCCCCCCTCCCTCCGACATCGACTTTTTGTAACTCTGAGATATAATCGATATCAGAGTCGACTATTATGTTTCTGGGATAGCTTAATATGAAAATGCTGTCGATTTTGCGATTGCGCCCCCCTCCCCGACTTTTAATAACTTTTCGGATTTAATCGATATCCGTGTCGACTGTTATGTTTTCGGGGGCACTTTTTATAAAAATAATTTCAGATCTGAGATTGCGCCTTTCCACCCTCCCGCTTAAAAAAGTCGATGTGGAAGGGAAGGGCGGGCGTAGTCTCAAAGTTGGCATTATTTTTTAATTAGCGCCCGAATATATAATAGTCGACCCTGATATCGATTAAATCTGAAAGCTTGCTAAAAGTCGATTGTCGCAATCTCAAATTCGACCGTATTTTCATAATAAGCTACCCCGAAAACATTACAGTCAAGCCTGATATCGATTAAATCCGAAAATTTACAATAAGTCGATGCCGGAGAGTGTGGGGGGAGCGTAATTTCAAATTCGACACTATTTTCATAAAAAGATACCCCGAAAACATGGTGCATATTGGTACATTTTTTATGTTATTTCTGAAATATTCATTTCTTGATTTTTGCAATAATTTATTTATGAAATAAATAATTCTGAAATAATAGTTATGAAATAATTTATTTCAGAAATAACTCATTTCGAAATAATTTACTTTGTTCCAAAGAATGTTAAAATATTGAAATATTTTTTTCAGAAATAAATTGAGCAGTTATTCCATCGAGATTATTTCATTGACAGTTTGAAATATTATTTCAGAAATAACCATTATTCCAGAAATAATTCATTCGTGGAATGACCATGTTAATTATTTCAGAAATAAATTATTTCAAGAGTTCCCAGGTCTAATATAGATATTACATTTTTAAAGATTTTTTTTATCGTCACTTATTTTATTATAATCTTTGTTCTTATTATTTTCTTGTAATTTTTAAGAATTGTTTATACTGACCACTTATTCCTCTTACCTTTTGACATAATTGTTTGTGAGTAAAAAATTATCTGAAACAAAGACCTATCGGAGCCGTAGTTTTTGAAAATTATGTCCATTTTGAGATTACACCATTGCATTTGGGCTTATTTGAGTTTTTCGGATTTCTTCCATATCAGGGTCTATTTCTATACTTTCGGAGCCGTAGTTTTTAAAATATATATCCATTTCGAGATTACATCACTGTGTTTTGACTTATTTGAGTTTTTCGGTTTTCTTCCATATCAGGGTCTATTTCTATACTTTTGGAGCCGTAGTTTTTGAAATTTATGTCAATTTCTAGATTACACCACTGTGTTTTGACTTATTTGAGTTTTTCGGATTTCTTCCATATCAGGGTCTATTTCTATGCTTTCGGGGCCGTAGCTTTTAAATATTATGTCCATTCTGAGATCATGCCACCACGTTTTGAGTTATTTGAGTTTTTTAGATTTATTTCATATGAGAGTCTATTTCTGTTTTCGGAGCCGTAGTTTTCGAAAATAATGTCCATTTTGAGATTACGCAATGTTTTGACAGATTTGAGTTTTTTATGATTTCTTTCATATGAGAGTGTATTTATATGTTTTCAGAACTGTAGTTATATATGAAAATGGTGTCCACTTTATGATTAATCTCCAGGACACGATCTCCTTACTTCCCAGATCCTCAGACAACTTCCCAAAAAAGCAATTATATTCCTTACATACCTATTCAACTGTATCCTCCGCACAACCCATTTTCCTCTGGTGTGGAAACACTCCATAATTATCCTCTTTCCTAAACCAGGTAAACCTGTTAATTATACATCATCCTATAGACCGATAAGCTTACTTCCGATCCTTTCCAAAATCTTTGAGAAAATCCTTCTCAAACGCATCCTACCCATACTCGAATCCCACAATATCCCTTCCCATCAGTTTGGATTCCGCTCAAGACACTCCACTGTCCAACAAGGCCTTCCCGTTGTGGACCACATATCCTCTGCACTTGAAAACATGCAATATTGCACTGGTGCCTTTCTGGACGTAGCTCAAGCTTTCGACCGGGTGTGGCACGATGGCTTGCTTTTCAAGCTCAAAACCCATTTACCTCCCTCAACCCTTGTATCTAGTCCTCAAATCCTACCTTTCAAATCGCTTCTTTCAAGTCCGCTGCGGCACTGAACTCTCCAAACATTATCCAATTGAGGCTGGTGTTCCACAAGGCAGTGTCTTGGGCCCAGTTCTCTACATCCTTTTCACCGCTGACATCCCTTCAAGTCCTGATACCTTCCTAGCAACATTTGCTGATGATACTGCCATCCTATCCTCCCACTCGGATCCTCTAATTGCGTCCCGGAACCTGTAAAGACACCTCTCCTTCATTGAGCAGTGGTGCAACAACTGGCGCATCAAAATTAATGAATCAAAATGCAAACATGTAACTTTCACTCTTCGACGCAGATCCTGTCCGCCAATCCTTTTTAATTCAATTCCTCTTCCTTACTCAGACACAGTCCGATACCTTCGCTTCCTTCTGGACAAAAGACTGACTTGGAACCCACATACGAGACTTAAAAGAAAAGAGCTTAACCAACAATTTGGTCAGCTATATAGACTACTAAACAGAACATCTCATCTCTCAACAGAAAACAAATTATTAATCTACAAGACCATACTGAAACCTATCTGGACCTACGGACTTGAGTTGTGGGGGACAACTAAATCATCGAATATCAAACGTATCCAATCCTTCCAATCTAAAGTCCTTCGAACAATAGTCAATGCTCCATATTATGTCACGAACAAGACCTTACACCATGACCTTAACATCCCATATGTCCATGACATCATCCCATCCAGATTCTCCAACTTTCACCAGAACCTCATTCATCATCCCAATCCTCTAGCCCGATCCCTATCCAGCTCCAAGCATCCTTATCATCCCCCTCGAAGGTTGAAATGGCAGTGGCCTTGAGATCTTTTGTAAATATGCCTTTGGAGTCCTGGCAATGGCCAGCTTCTCCACTCATGTCGTGAGCATCTGTGGCTCTGGTGCCCTCTTTCAGTCTCCACTGGCTTCTAATACTAGTGATGCGGCTGGAAAAGTGGCGCTGGGAACTTCCGGAGTCTTGCTTTGACTTCCACGTGTAGGGGAAAAAGCCTGGTTCGGAGATTCTTGGGCGAATGTATATATTGTATATAGTTATGATTGTGTTTAGAAGTTGTTATTTTATTTTATTTGTTTATTATTATTATTTTTTCTTTTCTTTTTATTTACCTTCTTCATCAGTATTATTTATTTACTTCTTATATTTATATTTATTTCTTTATTATTTGTATATATTGTATGAATGAGAACTTTTAGCCCTAATGCTTATAGCCCTCCAGCAGTGGCTGATTGTATTATTATTCAATAAATAGATTAAAAAAAAAAAAAAAAAACTTTATGATTATGCCACTCCATTTCGACTTATTTAATCTTTTCGAATTTTTCTATATCTAATTATCTCTTTAGAGCTGTGGATTTTGCAAATGATTTCCATTTTAAGA